GGCAGTCAGACTCTTGGTAAAGAAATGCTGCCTAATGTCCAGTCTGAACCTCCCCTGGCGCAGCTTTGAACCATTCCCACGTGTCCTGTCACAGGACCCCAGGGAGAAGAGATCAGCTCCTCCATCCCTGCTTCCCCTCCTCAGGAAGCTGTAGAGAGTCCTGAGGTCGCCCCTCAGCCTCCTTCTCTCCAAACTAGGCAAGCCCAAAGTCCCTAGCCACTCCTCATAGGACATTCCTTCCAGCCCTTCACCAGTTTTGTTGTCCTCCCATGGACACATTCAAGAACCTTCACATCCTGCTTAAATGGTGGGGCCCAGAACTGCACACACTAGTCGAGGTGAGGCCGCACCGACGGTGAACACAGCGGGACAATCACCTCTTTTGACGGGCTGGTTATGCTGTGTCTGATGCACCCCAGTATATACACCCAGCCTACAGTCAGGGCAACCCCTCGGACAGCTACTCTGTGGTGCCCCCCACGAGCTCTGCTCTCCATACGCATGCTGGCTACATTCTGATTCAGTGCCAGGAGGTGAGCAGGCTGAGCACCCCTGTTCCTCCTAAAGGGAACTCGGGCACACAGCAGACTCACACTCCAAAGAGATGGACCTCTGATGCGAAAAAATGGGGGTCTAGTATTGAACATCCGCAGCGGAGGTGTCTTCCTTGCAGTCAGCGCACCCAGCGTGCACCCCAAAGCAACGACCGCAGGACACTAGTCTGCTTCACAGCACAGACCCAAGCACTTCCCCCAGCCCTCAGTACCAAAACCCTAACACAGCCAGTGCCAGAGACCCAGATCTGTCTCAGCTCAGCCACCGCAGCAACCCAGGGTCCAAATCTTACCAGCCTCTCCCACCCTTCACACTCACATCTACTCCTGTCTTTTCATGCCCACAGAGAACCACAAGGACTTCTCTCTTGCTTTATTCACATACAGAACAGTTACACCCTTCTGTCTTCCCCACTTCCGTAAACAGGTCAAAAATCAACCTCTCCAAGAACGTATCTAGGCCCACTGCAAGGTTTCATTAATCAGACAATCATAGAATGGAAAGGGTTGGAAGGGACCTTAAAGATCAGCTGGTTCCAACACCCCTGCCATGGGCAGGGACACCTTCCACTAGACCAGGTTGCCCCGAGCTCCATCCAACCTGGCCTTGAACACTTCCAGGGAGGGGGCATCCACAGCTTCTCTGGGCAACCTGTGCCAGTGCCTCACTACCCTCATGGTGAAGAATTTCTTCCTAATATCTAATCTAAATCTGCCCTCTTTAAGTTTAGAGCCGTTCCCCCTTGTCCTATCACTACACTACCCTTGTGAAAATCTACAAAACTAATTTCCATGTACTGGAAGTTTGAACAGAGAAGGTAATAACACGAATGCAGGACCCTGAGCCCTCCTGCCCTTTGGCCTGAGCCACCCTGGAAGGCAATCTTCCAAAATACTTGGCACTACAACTCGTTTCTCAGACCTTTAACCTTAAGCCTACTGGCCACATTTTAGGGCAATACCTAAGGTTCCGTACATCTTCTGTTCAGATTCTTCCATCATTTACCACAACACTTTTTTTTCAATTCAGAAAGATACTGTGTGGTGTCTGTAACATTGCAGTCTCCTCCTGCAAGAGTGACACTTTTGCCACCTCATTTTCCACTAGCAGGGCCTCCAGCAATTGCTACCTTCAAGGAAACTTATTTCACATTTTTTATATATATCAAATAAAGATCTGCCTGGTTTAGTACTGAGTTGTGTGCTGCTCTGACTCCTGAAGTATTATGAAAATATACAACTAATCTCGTTTAGAGCTATTTCTAATATACTGCAGACTCACTTCCATCTACGGTGTATAAATATTTCTAGTTGTAAACACCCTAGGTTTTTTAGAAATGCTCAAATACTGAATACTGCCCAAAATGTTCATGCCTCAAATTCGATAAAACACCTTGAAAACCTGTATTAGGACAGTTTTCCTAGTCAAAGGAACTGTTAAGTTGTACATAATGAAATCCATACCCCAAAGATCTGAGCCTAACACATGCTCTATATATTCGGCACAGGAGAAATTTCTTTGCATAGAAAACACATGAATTTTGTAAACTACCAATTCCCGTGTCAAGCAGAAGAAGCCTGAAAAAGCACACAGGCCATACCGGTCTTCACCTCACAGACGCACGGGTTTAACAAACAACCCCGCTCCTTCAAGCCCGCCGAGTTAAACCAAACCCGCGGATGTGCCTGTTTTCCTCGACTGGTTTAGCCAGGAATATCCGCACGGAGCTCCGTGCGGCTCCACCCAAGCCCGACGGCACCGAAGGTGACCCGGCCGCGGCGCATC